ATCCCTGGAAACATTCCAGGTCATGTTGGAGGGGGCTCTGAGCAACCTGATCTAGTTGAAGATGTCCCTGCCCATGGCAGGGGGGTTGGACTAGATGACCTTTAGAGGTCCCTTCCAACCCAAACTATTCTATGACAATTCTACCATGATTTATGTTGTCCAATGTCCTGGGTTCTGTAGGTTTTTTCGTATGTTGCTATGTCCCTTGCTTAAATATTCCCAAATCTGTTCTCTTACTCTCATAGAAATGTAACTCCTGATAATAACTGGAAAGAAATGAAGAAAGGTTATGGCAGTGTTTTCTTGTGATTGCTTCTTAAATGACAAAGGGAAGACTTCGGAGCTGTGCTTTTGGTGCATGGATGTTGTGTCCAGTAAATTAAATTTAAAACTGATCTTGAAGTACAGCCTGACAAAACGATCTGAAAAGCAATAGTGTACTCCAGATTCCTAAGGGAAACTTATTAAAAATTGCCCAATCAATTAATTTTTCACATTTTCCCCAAATATTTCTCTGACCACAGACTATGTCTGTGATAATTCAAAGGCAAAGGACTGTTTTGAAAAAAAAAAATAAAATTGTGGAACAAGGCAAATTTTAGCGGCTCAGATGTCAGTAGCAAAAAAGAGAGTCTGGTAAAAAAAAACCACAAAAGTATTTTACTGCTTTTTGGTAACCCGTATCTCTTGGGATTTTATAGATTTAGATTCTGTCTTTTCTTTAATTCAGACACTGGACCAATGTCTTGCTGTGGTTTGTCTCCCACTGTTAACTGGTGTAATCTCTTGCCTGGGCCAGACTCTGCTGCTTAACCATACATGCACAGTGCCTTTCGCAGCCCTCTGAGCTACCTGAAACAGGGAACTTAAGGAGGCCCTTTTCCTCCTGTCCTTCTGCAGCACCAGGGAAGAGGAAACGGGATGCCTTGCCATCTCAGGTCTTTAGGTGCCTGTATCTGGGGAGCTGAAGCATGCCTTCATAAAATAAACTACTCACGGTGGTTTATTTTTGTTTAACCAAAATAAAGCCTCTTCTACACTGCTTGGAAGGAGTATCCTGACAGGGAGCTTTGGCTAACACCCTGTCGTTTTGCCTATGGGTATAGACACGTGGCTGGAAAGTGCTGTGGCTGAACAAGTTACTGTCCCTCAGGAAAGAGCTGATGCATCCTTAACCACCCTGCTAGGTGGTAACATGCATTAAAC